TTATAGAGAGAAAATACTATTTTGGTGGTCTTCCACGAATACGACACATTTTCGACACTTATTTACTTATTGCACTTGTCGAAAATAAAACAGGATCAAACAGGTTGTATCTACAGAACAACACAAGCAAAGAAGACAGAACGTACTTTTCGTGTTTTCCGTGTATGCCTATCTATGCACATACACACACATATATATTTGATATACCAGCGCCACCTACAAATCATCTACTTCAAGAAGTGAATAAATGGCGCGAAAATTAAAAATTTTTTAAAAAGACAATTGACACAAGATAGCAAAGCTCTTGAACTCTTTATTTAAAAATAATATTTAAAATAAAAAAAATTAAATTTTATAAGCAATTTCAAATTTTGAACAAAATCATATGCAAGCCTTGAAACGGCTTTAAGGCAAAAAAAAGACTGATAGTAATTTAATTTTTTAAAAGAATTTTAGAACCATTTAAAGAACTAATCGAATTATGTAAGAATATTAATTAGAAATTAAAAAATTAATGACTTTACAAAAATATTAATAATATTTCTAAAAAAATATATATTTAAAAAAATATTAATAATATTACTTTGTGTAAGAATATTCGAATTTATAATCAAATAAATGCAACACTAAAAACTTTAACTAATTTTGGAATATTTTAAATTAAAATTTTTCAAAAATCTAAGTTAATTAATATTTCTAATTAAATTCATTCAACAAAAATTTTTATATAATTTCAAAAAGAAACAGTTTAAAGTTCATTTATTTATGAAAATTGTAAACGCAATTCTTTTAAAATTGAATTATTTTTAAAAAAATGTAAGTAAAATTATTTATTAAATCATTTATTTATTTTATGACAGTTGTTCAAGATTTAAGTTATTTCAAAAGAAATTTTTTGCAGGAATTAAAAAAATTAAGGGTTTTGTATTAAATTCATGGTAATTTTCTAGTTTATCAGTGACCCAAAAAAGGCCAAAATTCAGAATTTTCTTATGAATTCTAAAAATATAATTTTTTCAGTATACTCTATGTTAGAATATATAAATGTTATAATTATAATAATATTCAAATTAAATATTCCAATTTATATTTTGTTTTCATAAAAAAATTTCAAGCCCAAATTTCTACGTTCTATTATTTTTATAACTGATAATTTTATTTAAAAAATTTGGGAGACGACAGCCGCGCGCGTAAGAGCGCTATTTGTTACTGCTGTATTAATAACAACAATTCGATAAGCCAAAAATTGTATACTGTACAAAGAGTCAATAATTTAATTTTTAAACAAAAATTTTAAGAGCAAAAAAATCCAAACTTCACACGGAGACAGATTTTAAATTTTAAAAGTAAAATCTGAAGAGCAAAAAACTCCAAACTTTACAGGGAGATAGTAATTGACTTTTAAAACGAAAATCTAAAGAGGAAAAAAATCCAAACTTTACAGGGAGACAGAAATTGACTGTTAAAATCAAAATCTAAAGAGCAAAAAAATCCAAACTTTACAGAGAGACAGTAATTGACTTTTAAAATCAAAATCTGAAGAGCAAAAAAATCTAAACTTTACAGAAAGACAGTAATTGACTTTTAAAATAAAAATCAAAGGAGCAAAAAAATCTGAACTTTTCAGGGAGACAGTAATTGACTTTTTAAATCAAAATTTGAAGAGCAAAAAAATTCAAACTTTGCAGGGAGACAGTAATTGACTTTTAAAATCAAAATCTGAAAAGCATAAAAATCCAAACTTTACAGGGAGACAGTAATTGACTTTTAAAATCAAAATCTGAAGAGCAAAAAAATCCAAACTTTACAGGGAGACAGTAACTGACTTTTAAAATCAAAATCTGAAGAGCAAAAAATGCAAACTTTAAAGCGAGACAGTTATTGACTTTTAAAATAAAAATCTAAAAAGCAAAAAAATCCAAACTTTACAGGGAGACAGTAATTGACTGTTAAAATCAAAATCTGAAGAGCAAAAAAATCCAAACTTTACAGGGAGACAGTAATTGACTTATAAAATCAAAATTTGAAGAGCAAAAAAAATCCAAACTTTACAGGGAGACAGTAATTGACTTTTGAAATCAAAATTTGAAGAGCAAAAAAATCTAAACTTTACAGGGAGATTTTAAAATCAAAATCTGAAGAGCATAAAAATCCAAACTTTACAGGGAGACAGTAATTGACGTTTCAAATCAAAATCTGAAGAGCAAAAAAATTTAAACTTTACAGGGAGACGTATTTGAGTTTTTAAAGTAAAATCTGAAGAGCAAGAAAATCCAAATTTTACAGGGTGACAATTTTTGACTTTTAAAATCTAAGTCTAAAGAGCAAAATAAAGTAAACTTTACATTGAAGTAATGACTGAGTTTTAAATTCAAAATCTGAAGAGCTTAAAAAGTGTTTATTTAGGAGGTAAACAGCTACTGTCAGTGTAAAGTAATTGAGGGGCTGGATGCTATATTGTGTTACGCGTTATTCAATTAACATGGCGCGTAACACATTATAGCATCCAGCCCCTCAATAAAAAAGAATTTAATCTTCACAGGGTGTCAGTCACTGTAATTCCTAATTATTATTATAAATATATAATATATTGCACTTATTTTTGTGAAAAATTTAATTTAAAAAAAAAATTTTTTTAATGTCTGATTTTTGTTGAAGGATTGCTTTTGGAAAATTGTTTTTTTTTTGCATTTGAAAGCAAATAAAGAGCAAAAAAATATGGTACAGTTAAATTTTTGAAAAAATCATGTTTTGGTGTAAACCGCGCTGAGTTGACCCCAAGCCAGCGCGGTTCTTTTATCTCGGAAACCCTTGCAGCAAAAAAATCATTCTCAACGGCTAAAAATAGCAAAAAAAGAGCAAAAAAATAAGGCAGTGTTGATTTTTAAATTTTTGAAAGTGGCGCCGCTGAGTGGTCTCACCTGGTATAAAGATTACCCAAATGTTTCTCAAAGAATTGGGATTAAAAACAGTTTAATTTTTTATTTACAGGGCAATGATTTCGAGCTTAAAAAACTTATAACCGGTTCTTTGATAGGGACCCTCAATTGTTTATGCTAATAAATTTTTAAAGTTTTTGAAAGAATGTACATATGGGCAATTCTCTGGAACCTTTAACCTTTAGGTGTCTTATATTTATTATGCAATTACTCAAGATATATCAAATGTTTTATAAAAAGAATTATTGTTCCATGTAAAGAATGTTTAATAATATTAAAATATGTTAGTTTAAAAATTATTAAATTATGTTTAGTAATTAATATATATTTTTTAATGTGGAAAAGTAAGCAAATCACGAGAGTCCCTTTAAGTACTTTCAGAAACATAAACTAATTTTATAAGTTGGCACATCGACATAGAATAAAATGACGAATACATAAATGTAAATGAATATCTAAGGATTATTTTAAAAGTAATTAGAAGATTATACGCATTTGGAAAGTAAAGATATTTAATTTCGAAAAATTTCCCTTATTTTCGTGTCAGGACCGTAACTGCAAACGTACTTGCAGATATTTCAAGAGTGCTTTAATAAAATGAATTCAACAATACATAGAATGAAAGCTTAAAACTTACTAAAACTGTGGCCAGTTGAAATTTTTATGTGCAATAATTTATATTGAAATTATTGAAGAATATTGTTCTTGAATTCGACAGAGAACCTGGTTATGTCAGGACCGTAAATGATTCGGCACAATTAAACAAAACTATAAAAATTTATCAAACCTGTACGCACATTCGCACAATTCTATTTTTTACTTATGTGTAAAAGCACGCCTTAAAATTTTCAATAATTATCGAGATACAAGGAGGTACACGTGAAAATGTCAGGACCGAAATTGTCAGGACCGTAAAAAACTAATTTTTTGTCTCAATAAATTAGGATTTCAAGGTTGTCAGTGTGATAAATTGATAACTTCACTATTGACCGTTCTGTTTTTAAAGTTCAAAATAGAAATATGTAATTCGTAAAGTTAAAAATAATGAGGTCAATGAAAGAAATTTAGAATAAAAAGCAGAACAAATGAGGAAAAAAGAAGGAAAAAAAGGGAAAAAGAAGCAGAATACAATTTGAAAAACTTGCATCAGAGAAGGAAATTATTAAGGTTATCTAGAAAAAATATTACAATTAAGATAAATTTAATTAAATAAATAAATTTGTAGATAAATTTTCGATCCTTTTTTTCTCGGAAAATAATGAATTTAAGAAATTTCGCCTCTAGGATCCATATATATTATTAATAATAGAAGATGTCAGATGGTATCAGAAAGAAATAATGATGACGTTTTTCCTTTCTAGCATCTTTATTATTTTAGTAGCCAACGTTTCGGCCTCTAATCGAGAGCCATCATCAGGGCTTTTTTGATGTTATAAAGAATATTTAAGAAATTTTTAAAAAAACGTAGAAAACAATAATAATAAAAGAAAGAGTGAGAGAGAAGAAAGATGATGTGTGTTGATTATTTGCAGGCTTCTTTGATGATCTCAATGGATTCGGAATTATATTAGATGAAGATGTTGTTTATCCAATTTGTAGATAAATTTTCGATCCTTTTTTTCTCGGAAAATAATGAATTTAAGAAATTTCGCCTCTAGGATCCATATATATTATTAATAATAGAAGATGTCAGATGGTATCAGAAAGAAATAATGATGACGTTTTTCCTTTCTAGCATCTTTATTATTTTAGTAGCCAACGTTTCGGCCTCTAATCGAGAGCCATCATCAGGGCTTTTTTGATGTTATAAAGAATATTTAAGAAATCTACAAATAATAGTAATAATTGATATATAAAGCGTTGTTATTCCTTTCAATAAATAAATTAATAGTAATACACATTTGAAACGTTGTAAATAAATAAATAAATAAATAATAAATAATTAAAATGCAAAAATTAAAATACTAAAAGCTTTTTGACTTTCGTAGATTATAAATTGTTTTAACTTTCGCAGAAGAGAAAATCATTTATATGGTTTTTCAAAAGTGAGATAAACTTTACCTTAAATTATTCTTTGTAATAATAAGAAGAAGGAAGCAGTAGAAAGCAGCAATATTTGGTAATTGCCCTTTCTCATTCTTCTCTTCCCGCAGCAATAGCAATAGCTGATAGTAATAATATGAATCAAGAGCGATAAATCCATTTGGAAAGAAATTTTGTTTGGCACATACACACACTCTTTTAATATAGACTTTTTAATAATCTTTTTTCATTTTTATTCATTTATTTTTTATTTTATTTTAATATTTTTTATTTATAAAATATTTGATTTTGATAGAGACATAGACACTTTTGGTTAGGAGTCCCATCAATGACTGTGATTAAATGAAAAGTTGATTGATTTTAAATTGAGAATTGAGGATAATAGGTATGATGTCATTTCATTCATTCAAAGTAAAGATACATACAACTCATACATACATATACGTATATACACAACAAACAAATAATTGTGAATGAAAAGTGTTATGAATTTCAACGGATGCGTTCCTTATGCCGTACAAAGATGCACTCGAACGGCAGAACACAACGAGTGGAAAATGCAGATCCGCGGATGAGTGAGAGCCCTCGTAGCCGTACACTGATGACGACTCATGACTCACGGACGGAGGCCCCATCATTAAACGTCAAAAGGCCGTAGTCTTGGGAGGTAGGAGGTGGCAGACGTGCAGGCAAGAGGTGATCGAGCGAATCAAGGAGATGCATTTGGAGTGAGTAGTGTTCCGTCGTTCGAGCGCATCCCTGCGCCTGACACTTACATACATACGGAAATGCGATGTTATGCACACGCACGTGCTTCTCGCCTTGATTTGACAAAAATTTTTTTTTTTTTTTTTTTTTTTTTTTTTTTTTTTTTATATATAAGAGAAAGTTCACCAGAATCATTAATTATTGTCTTTTATTTTTTTTTTTATATTTTTTTTTTTTATATTTTTATTTTTCTTTGTTTTGATTTGATATTGGCATTATTTAAATGTATGAGTGAATGGTAAATAGTGTTAATTGATTTTGTTTGTTGTTGAGTATTAAGACATTTAGAAATATTGTTATTGCATTGAGATCATCAAAGAAGCCTGCAAATAATCAACACACATCATCTTTCTTCTCTCTCACTCTTTCTTTTATTATTATTGTTTTCTACGTTTTTTTAAAAATTTCTTAAATATTCTTTATAACATCAAAAAAGCCCTGATGATGGCTCTCGATTAGAGGCCGAAACGTTGGCTACTAAAATAATAAAGATGCTAGAAAGGAAAAACGTCATCATTATTTCTTTCTGATACCATCTGACATCTTCTATTATTAATAATATATATGGATCCTAGAGGCGAAATTTCTTAAATTCATTATTTTCCGAGAAAAAAAGGATCGAAAATTTATCTACAAATTGGATAAACAACATCTTCATCTAATATAATTCCGAATCCATTGAGATCATCAAAGAAGCCTGCAAATAATCAACACACATCATCTTTCTTCTCTCTCACTCTTTCTTTTATTATTATTGTTTTCTACGTTTTTTTAAAAATTTCTTAAATATTCTTTATAACATCAAAAAAGCCCTGATGATGGCTCTCGATTAGAGGCCGAAACGTTGGCTACTAAAATAATAAAGATGCTAGAAAGGAAAAACGTCATCATTATTTCTTTCTGATACCATCTGACATCTTCTATTATTAATAATATATATGGATCCTAGAGGCGAAATTTCTTAAATTCATTATTTTCCGAGAAAAAAAGGATCGAAAATTTATCTACAAATTGGATAAACAACATCTTCATCTAATATAATTCCGAATCCATTGAGATCATCAAAGAAGCCTGCAAATAATCAACACACATCATCTTTCTTCTCTCTCACTCTTTCTTTTATTATTATTGTTTTCTACGTTTTTTTAAAAATTTCTTAAATATTCTTTATAACATCAAAAAAGCCCTGATGATGGCTCTCGATTAGAGGCCGAAACGTTGGCTACTAAAATAATAAAGATGCTAGAAAGGAAAAACGTCATCATTATTTCTTTCTGATACCATCTGACATCTTCTATTATTAATAATATATATGGATCCTAGAGGCGAAATTTCTTAAATTCATTATTTTCCGAGAAAAAAAGGATCGAAAATTTATCTACAAATTGGATAAACAACATCTTCATCTAATATAATTCCGAATCCATTGAGATCATCAAAGAAGCCTGCAAATAATCAACACACATCATCTTTCTTCTCTCTCACTCTTTCTTTTATTATTATTGTTTTCTACGTTTTTTTAAAAATTTCTTAAATATTCTTTATAACATCAAAAAAGCCCTGATGATGGCTCTCGATTAGAGGCCGAAACGTTGGCTACTAAAATAATAAAGATGCTAGAAAGGAAAAACGTCATCATTATTTCTTTCTGATACCATCTGACATCTTCTATTATTAATAATATATATGGATCCTAGAGGCGAAATTTCTTAAATTCATTATTTTCCGAGAAAAAAAGGATCGAAAATTTATCTACAAATTGGATAAACAACATCTTCATCTAATATAATTCCGAATCCATTGAGATCATCAAAGAAGCCTGCAAATAATCAACACACATCATCTTTCTTCTCTCTCACTCTTTCTTTTATTATTATTGTTTTCTACGTTTTTTTAAAAATTTCTTAAATATTCTTTATAACATCAAAAAAGCCCTGATGATGGCTCTCGATTAGAGGCCGAAACGTTGGCTACTAAAATAATAAAGATGCTAGAAAGGAAAAACGTCATCATTATTTCTTTCTGATACCATCTGACATCTTCTATTATTAATAATATATATGGATCCTAGAGGCGAAATTTCTTAAATTCATTATTTTCCGAGAAAAAAAGGATCGAAAATTTATCTACAAATTGGATAAACAACATCTTCATCTAATATAATTCCGAATCCATTGAGATCATCAAAGAAGCCTGCAAATAATCAACACACATCATCTTTCTTCTCTCTCACTCTTTCTTTTATTATTATTGTTTTCTACGTTTTTTTAAAAATTTCTTAAATATTCTTTATAACATCAAAAAAGCCCTGATGATGGCTCTCGATTAGAGGCCGAAACGTTGGCTACTAAAATAATAAAGATGCTAGAAAGGAAAAACGTCATCATTATTTCTTTCTGATACCATCTGACATCTTCTATTATTAATAATATATATGGATCCTAGAGGCGAAATTTCTTAAATAAATAAATAATAATTAAGTTCACTAATTTTTATTAAAATATTTAAATTTGACCAATTTAATTTAAATTTAATATAACTCTAATAGAGAATATTAAAAAATAAATAATAAATATTATAAAAAAGTAAAGACAACCAAAATATTTAAATCTAAAACAATCGAAAACAATAGATTTTAACCTTTAAAAAATCGTCTTATTAAAAAAGAATAAAAATATATGAGACCTTCGAAATATTACATTTTTAACTGCAAAAATAAATTCTAAATGCTAATTTTAATTTATATACAAATTTTTATTAATGTGCTAGTAAATTTTTTTTTCAAATCAAAAGTTAAAGGTTCCAGAGAATTGCCCATATATTAACATTTTATGTTTAAAAAATGCCTAAAATGTTTACAAATGTCAAAGAAACTTGATTATTGTTCATAATAATTGTCAATAACAATAATAATGTTTAAATTTAAAATCATTTTTTACTAAAATCGACATAGATTACTAAAAAAAACATAAATTTGTCTGCAAAAAAAATTTTTCTTTATAAAACAGAACCTTAGTTATCTATTTGTTAATTAACATTATTTGCAACAGTTTAAATAAATTGTATTATACATTATTTATCTGGTGGTTAACAATGGTAATTATTAAATTTAAAACAATTTTATATCGAAATCGACATAGATTACTTAAATAAACATAAATTTGTCTGCAAAAAAAAATTTTTTTTACAAAAAAATGTCTATTTGTTAATTAACATTGTTTGCAACAATTTAAATAAATTGTATTATACATTATTATTTGTCTGGTGGTCATGTTGGACTAATTTCAATTGATTCCAATTATCTGCAATGAAAAAATAAAAAAATAAACATGATTTTTTCTAAAAATATTGTAAATTGTTAACTTTGAATAACAAAAAAAAATAAAAACAATTTAAAATTCAAAAATTAGTTTAGAGGGATCTTTTAGAATTTTGATTCCCTTTAATTGAAGACCAAGTCCATGAAAATCCGAAAAAATTCGTAGGTTCCACACAATTTTAAACAGTAAATTGTAAAAAATGCCAATGTGCGCGGGGCGAGTTTATCGTCATATAAAGCTCTACACAGCTGCAGTTTTTAATTAATAACTTTTTTTTTAATTGAGGCTCATTTTTTTCGAAACGGTTTTACACTCGGAGACATTTAAGGAATAGAATACAATTTTAATTTTTTTGTTAGGACGTGAAGAACATATTTGTTTATTAACATTTTATAAACAAATTATATAAAAAATTATAAAAAAAAATTTAAAAACAAAAAATATATTCAAATAGTGCAATTTAAGACGAAAAAACCCATATTTTAATTTTAAAATCCGTTAAGTTGAACTCGAGAAGAAAATTTGTTAATTAAGCAGTACTTCTTAACAATATTAAGAGTCAAAAAAAACTATTTTGGTTCAAAAAGAAAATTTTTTAGCTTTAGATGATCCGTTTGAGAAATTATGACCCTGGATTTATTTTTTGTCGGAGTTTGTTGGTTTCGTGGTTTGGTCTACCGTTGGAGTTTGAATTTCGAGAGAGACAAGAGGACAAGGTTTGTGAGTTTGGCCAATTTACAATTCGCAATTGGAGATCCAGCATCAGGATTTTTGTCTCAGTTTCTCCCCCCCTTTGAGATTTATTAATTTGGGATTTCTGTGATTCGGTTTTGTTACAAGTTTGGGTTTTTCATGCAATCAATATTTTAAATTATAATTTTTAAACCTTTAAAAATTACCCTTACAAATTGGCGCCCAACGTGGGGCCACGCTGAGATTTCGAATTGAACGAATTAAGTGTTTAAAGTCCGTTTTTTTGTGTTGTCCTTATTCTGGTCTTTTATTGACCAAGACCAGCCCCAAAGTTCGAGTTAAGCCCTAGACCAAGACCATTTCAGTTTAATCGGTGTTTATAGTGTGTCTATAATTTTAACCAAATTGTTATAATCTTTAAAAAAAATAAAAAAAAATCTTTAAATCTTTAAATCTTTAAATTAAATTTCACATAGGCAAAAAGCCTATGTGAAATTTAATTTCCATGGTAGTGATGAGTGTATGAAAATTGACGGTTATCGGTTTTTTTGTGTGGCGCGGGGACGCGGTGTAGAGCCCGCGCAATTTTCTTGGCGGTAACTCGTGTTGGTGGGGCGAGCCGGCAGTTACGGCGTGCGTATTTTTCTGTCATTGAAGTAAATACAAACGTTCCGTATTATTATTGACCCTAGTTTTGTCGTTCAAATGCAATGTCAAATATTATTTTATAAACGGATTAATTTTGATTTTATATTTTCGTAATCACGAATTTAGTGGTATTTATAACGATAATTCAATTTTTAGTTTTCTCCAGAAGGAAGGTTAATTTAACGGTCTGAAGTTTTTTTTCTGGTTGTTGTTAGTGTTGCGTTTGATTGTGGTTTTAATGTGTTACTATATTGTTGGATAAATGCAAGCGTTACCATTTCCAGCAATGGAGTCATATCGTAGAAATATGCATGAACTTTTAGTTCATGAATCGGTTAAAACCCTGTGGGAACAAATTCTGGCCCTTCCAATAGAAGAGTTAATATTGGAATTAGAAAGTCAAGGGGCGAGTACTAAGGGTTCAATACAGGTAATTAGAGAAAGATTGTTGCGTTTACGTAGTCGTATTTTGTTCGGTGAAATGCTGTCGGTACCTTGGATCGGAGCTTTCGATGCCGGCGAGTCCAAACAAATTTTTTTAGTCGAAGCCTTGGATGATAACGCAAGTTGTTTTAGTCCAGGCAGTCGTGAAGTGGTACATTTAAACAGTGGTGTCACAGTTAATGTTTCGTTCACCGGTTTGGATTGCACGGTAATAGAAATACCGGTCACTAAAAATAATTCAGTTCCAACAAGTATAACCAACACAGGGCAAAATAATGCACCTGTGATTTCTACTATGACCGTGACTAGTTCTACGACCAATTCTTTCCCTATGACAACCGTCGCGGGGGGAACTTCAAGTTTTTGCACTACTAGCGTGACCTGGACCATGCCCTTTTCTGGTATTTCGTTACCCTATAGCGTGGCTAGCTCGTGGGGTTTGAACCCGGTTGCAGCCAGGATGACCTTCGCGCCCTCAGGAGGCATTAGGCAGCCCCAAAACTTCGATTGAAGGGGGAGTAGTGTCCCAAATCAAATCCCAATGATGAGTCCTGGCCCAGACCAGGCCAATGTTGGTGTTGGGTTGCCGATTTATGAGAATCAGGTACCTATTCATACAGGTACGTTACCTAAAGTTTTTGTTGGACTCGAGCCTGTACCTTTGTCGAGACCGAGTGCCCCAAGTCAGCGCCAGGTGATGTTTCATCCCCAAGTTAAGGAAAATGAGAATCGCTCTAAGCCCTCATTTTTGACCAAGAATTATATTGACCAACAAAGCCAGTTCGAACCGACCCAATTTAATTTTGAGAGCAGTTATGCACAACAGCTGTCAAACACGGAGCAGTCTAGGGCATCTATTCGTCCTTCGTTAGAGTGTGGGTCAGGCATTAGTGTAAAATCACAAATGGATTTTCGTTCTCAGGATTGAAATCCCACCTCGGATGAGGAGTTGGATCCTTTCCCAAGTGTTTCTACTCAGGCCCCGGTTAGAGATTTGGGTTTTAAGTTCACGGTGGGTTTGAATGTAGTTCAACCCAAAGATGCTTGCGTATCAAAATTTCTTTCTGATTTCTTTTCTAGGATGGCCCCTGATAATTTTGAGTCCAAAAAAAATCGCTTGGGCCGTTTTTGAAAAAACTCATTTTTTGATTTTTTGAAAATATCAATTAACTTTTTCTCTAAGAAAGTAAATAATAATATGGTTTAATTATAGATTTAAATCTCTTAAATTAACATTAGTAAACGGTCCCTAGCCTAGGTGCTGAAAATATGCATCAACTAAAATGCTGTAAAAAATCTAAAAAACCGTTTGAAAGTTGGTTTTAAGGGAATTCCTTCATAAGAAGTGTGCAAAATATGTCAAAATTCAACACTTTTTTTCTCGTTTATTTTATTATAAAAGTTAAAAAGCCCTTTTGCATATTAAAGTTTTATTTAAAGTATTAAAAACAATACAAAAATTATATTTTTTGTATTATCTTAGGCTGCAGAGGGCGTCAAAATCGATGCTTTTATTTTGAAGCGTTCCGTGGTTGCAGGGTTAGGGCCGTCCCCAGTGGTCTAAAATAACAACCCAAAAGAACTTTTGCAGTTGAGCTACTAATCTAGTGGTTATACCTAAAATTACCTTAACCCTTTAAGGACCAAATATACAAAAATTTTATCCGAACTTTGGGAGCAATTTTTATTATGAAAACGGATTGCTAAAAATTTTTCAATAGACATTTCTTAAAGCTCAGGAACCGCTCTTTCGAATGCTGCAATAACAAATATTGAATATTTATAAATAAACAAATTACATACAGTTATTTAAAAAAAACACAATTTTTTAAAGATTTTTTTTTGAAAATCAAATTTTTTTTATTATTTATAGCGAAGGAATACGTCTTAAAGGTAAAAATATCGCGTCAAAAATGTCTAACCTAAAATGTTGTAAAATAAAAATTAAAAAAAACAAAATGGCGGATCAAAAATGGCGTTCAAAGTTGACTTTTTAATAAATAATATACAGCAAGTGCACATTTTTTTAAAAACCTCACAGATTTGCTTGAAACTGGTTACTCGGGGGTTTTTGGGGTCGCTGATTACAAATATGATAATAGTTTTTAAAAATTCAAAATGGCGAATCCAATATGGCGGTCACTTTTTTCAAAATTTCATCGGATTCGCTTAAAACTGGTTACTCGGGGGTTCTTGGGGTCTCTAATTACGAATATGATAGTAGTTTTCAAAAATTCAAAATGGCTAATTCAAAATGTCGGATACTTTTTCTAAAAGTTCATCGGATTCACTTGAAACTGATTAGGAGGGGTTCTTGGGGTCTCTGATTATGAATATGATAGTAGATTTTAAAAAATAAAATCTCGGAGCATGTACATTATGCAGGTTAGAAATTATAAAAATTTAAACCCTTTTTGGTTTCAAATAATTTGTGTAAAATATAATAGTAATATTAAACTTAATAATAATATTACTAATAGTAACTGTTCTTTGTTATTATCGAGTTTTGTCTGTCTTTGAAGCCTCATAATTAAAGAATAATTATGTTTAAGGGGCAAATTTTATCGAGTGTACCAAAGTCAAAATTGCAAGTTGTTGGATCGGGCTAATATTTTCACAGTAGTTAGTAATATGTATGACTAATTAACCACCAAGTAATATATACCTATATTTTTTTTGTATAAATTTTTTTTTGATTTTTCTTTCAAGAAGGACCCTTTTTTTCTTTTTCTTGTACCAAAAAAAGCTTAAGATGTGTACTTTCAATATCTAAAACGAAAAAATGACGCTTTTTTCGAATTATTAAATAATTAATTAATAAAAATTGAAATATTTTACAACAAAATAAAGTTAACGGAATTCTGAAGTTACTACTGTAAAACATTACAAAAATTAATGTATATGCTCCGAAATTTTTATTTTTTGAAAACTACTATCATATTCGTAATTAGAGATCCCAAAAACCCCTGAATAATTATTTTCAAGCGAATCCGATGAAGTTTTGAAAAGTGTCCGCCATATTAGATTCGCCATTTTGAATTTTTGAAAACTATTATCATATTCGTAATCAGCGACCTTAAAAACCCCCGAGTAACCAGTTTCAAGCGAATCCGATGAAATTTTGAAAAAAGTGTCCGCCATATTGGATTCGCCATTTTGAACTTTTAAAAACTATTATCATATTTGTAATCAGCGACCCCAAAAACCCCCGAGTAACCAGTTTCAAGCGAATCTGTGAGGTTTTGAAAAATGTCCGCCATATTGGATTCGCCATTTTGAATTTATGAAAACTATTATCATATTCGTAATCAGCGACCCCAAAAACCCCCGAGTAACCAGTTTCAAGCGAATCTGTGAGGTTTTTAAAAAAATGTGCACTTGCTGTATATTATTTATTAAAAAGTCAACTTTGAACGCCATTTTTGATCCGCCATTTTGTTTTTTTTTTAATTTTTATTTTACAACATTTTAGGTTAGACATTTTTGACGCGATATTTTTACCTTTAAGACGTATTCCTTCGCCATAAATAATAAAAAAAATTTGATTTTCAAAAAAAAATCTTTAAAAAATTGTGTTTTTTTTAAATAACTGTATGTAATTTGTTTATTTATAAATTTTCAATATTTGTTATTGCAGCATTCGAAAGAGCGGTTTCTGAGCTTTAAGAAATGTCTATTGAAAAATTTTTAGCAATCCGTTTTCATAATAAAAATTGCTCCCAAAGTTCGGATAAAATTTTTGTACATTTGGTCCTTAAAGGATTAAAAAATCAAAATAAAAAAATGGTACATACTACTTTCAACAAGAAAATTAAAAAATGACTTTTTTTCTCAACATTTTTCATTAAAAAAAAGTATTAAAAAATTTTTGTTTTCAAATTTTTTAGGTATACCCACTAAAAATATTATATTAAGCAACAAGGGTAAAAAGGCAGCCATTTGTTTACGGTGATTTTTGTGACACGAGTGGAGGTCGAGGGCGCCCCGAGACCGGAACGAGTGCCTTTATTCCCATGTTAATTACGATATTTTTTATTCCTAATGCACAAAAGTGGCGATTTTAGATAGCAGACGACAGGGAATAAAAGTCAGTCACTTGTTCGACTTATAAGAAAATGGCGGCCGTTTTCTCCCTTGGGCAAAAATAACGCATAGGATCAGCGGTAATGTTTGCACATGGGAGAAAATGGACGCGATTTTCAAATGGTCGAACAAATGAGTGACTTTACTTCCTGTCGTCAGCTATCTAAAAGCGCCATTTTTGTGCATGTGGGATAAAAACATATTTTTTAACAATATGCAAAAAGAATTAGACAGAAACATCCATCCGTTTACTCAGAATCCCTGCAACCGATTTAAAAAAACAGCGTTTTGAGAAAAACAAAGTTAAAGTTTAAATACGATTTTTTCAGATTTATTGTTAAATGGTTTTTATAAGATCTTACCAAATTTTAATTTGCTATCTTAGGTCAATAAAGTAAGTTATAAGCTTTCTAAAAAGCTTTTTCATGTTCGTCGCGAGTCTTTTTATTGTCAAAAACCATACCAAATTAAGTAAATTAAATATTCAACTTTAATTTCTCAATTTTCTTTTTAAAATTTGTCGATTGTTAAAATATTTGTGTAATTTCTTAAAATTTTGAATTGTATATCATGTAACATAGAATATTATAAGCTCTCAAACGGTAGATTTGTTAAGTTTCTGACATTAGTTTTTACAGGAATATCATGATTTAAAGATTGGTATGTTTTTTGGCCATGCGCGTGGAGCCAGTGTGACGGTAGTGTGATGTACTATAACTTTTGATGGGAGCTAAATTTTGTCTTAAAATGTTAAACCTTTATTCTAGAGATATTTAGGATTTTAAAAAAGCAACAAAAAAATTCGAAGAAAAATTTTTTTCTCATGAGTAATTTCCCTTAAAAATTACTCCCTTCCATTGAATTTTAACCCGTTAAAAATCCTCACAAAAATTAAAGGTTACGAAAATATCTATAAATTGCAAAAATTCAATGATTTATCTTTAAAACTGTCGAAGTTATGACCATTAAAGTATAAAAAATCTATCAACAATAAATTATTTTCTTTTTATTTCTATAACGTTACATTTTTAATATTTTTATTATAACGATGTTGTATTAATTAATCACTGGCATTGAAAATTTAAGAAAGAAAAATCAATATTATTTTGAAATGAGAATCTTATTACAAGCGTCATATATGTCATTTGTGATTTTCATAATAATGTAAAAAAATTAATAATGTCGAAAACTCACGCAAAAATGCATAATGAAAATTGTTTTACCATAATTTCCAGTTTCCCTTGTCTAATCACCAGAAACATTCTCTTTGTTTTACCAAAGCACAAGCAAATTTGTTGCTTATTTACATTAAGTTTTGGTGTGTTTTCGACATAATTAACTTTTTTTACATTTTTATGAAAATCACAAATGACACATATGACGCTTGTAATAAGATTCTCATTTCAAAATAATATCGATATTCTTTTTTTTAATTTTAAGTGCGAATTATTAATTAATATAACATCGTAATACCAAATATATTAAAAATCTAATGTTATAGAAATAAAAAGAAAAAGAGTAATAATTTTCAGATGGTTATAACTTTGGTTCTAATTAAGCTATAAACATTTACTTTCTTTGGATGTTCTCAAAATTATGTCCACTTTAATTTACCCATAAGTAGTACTTAGTATTTTTAGATTTACTGGAAGAAAGTTATTTCACAAAAACTAAAACTTTAATTTTTTTTGGGTTTTCATGTTTTTAGATTTTTTTAGGGTTTTAGTTGATGCATATATTTAGCACCTAGGGACTATTTACTTATGTTAATTGAATTGATTAAAAACCTATAATAATTAAACCATACTATTATTTACTTTTTTAGAGAAAAAGTTAATTGATATTTTCGAAAAATCAAAAAATGAGTTTTTTCAAAAACGGCCCAAGCGATTTTTTCTTTTTGGGCTCAAAATTATCAGGGGCTATCCTAGAAAAGAAATCATAAAGAAATTTTGATACGCAAGCATCTTTGGGTTGAACTTTATTCAAACCCACCGTGAGTTGGTTAAGTTGTTTAAAGATTGGGATATTCGTTTCTCAGCCACCGGCAAGGAGGACCCGGAAGAATTTTTGTCACTTCTCACGGATTGTAAGGAGGGGATTGAGATTAGTGATAGTGAGTTATTGCACGCTTTGCCTAGCGTATTGAAGGGAGTAGCCAGCAATTGGTACCGTGTTGTTAAGCGTGAAATTAAAACATGGGGACATTTCAAAAAATATTTCAGGAGAGAATTTTTGGAAACCGTGGATGACGAAGACGTTTACGACGAGTTAAAGTCCCGAACGCAAGCAAAAGAAGAGAAAATTTCTGAATATCTCCTTAATTTGCGTTCTATTACCCAGCATTTTAGAAATCCGATGACCGATTTTGAAATGTTAAGAATAGCGTATCGTGGTTTAACCCCTGAGTATAGGTGTTATGTGTCATCATATTCGGTGAATACTGTTTTGGATTTGGAGAAACATTTACGTGAATATGAAAGGATTAAGGAAATTGACAAGCGTTATGTCTCTCCCCCCTCTAAAGAGTAGATGTTGTTCTATATGGCAGCGCCTAAATTGAATGTTAAAAGTTCTAAATTGGTCGCGCTGTTAAAAAATTTGTTGTCGGATAGTGAGGGGGAAAATGTAGGCGTAGATGTAAATGCGAATAGGAAGAAACAGAGAAGTAAAAAGTCCAAAAATAAAAAATCTGAACTCAAAGTTGAAGTGAATGTAATATCGGCTCCAGCAGGGCAGCCTGGTGTTGTGGCGGGAAAGTTGGTAAATCAGCCTTTTTCTATTCCAGACCGACTAGCCCAATTGCCCATCCCGATTACCAATCTTGCCCAGTCACTAAGTAATAATCCCCCCCCTCAGGTTGTTATGGTTAGGACAAATTCCCTAAATAATAATCGACAACAAGGAGCGGGATCTCGCAATACTGTTAGTAATAATAATGTAGAGCCATTTTTAGGGAATTGTAATAAGTGTGGCGTGGTTGGCCACAAAGAAGTGCAGTGCCCTTCCGTGTTGTGTTTTAGTTGTAGAACTGTCGGCCATTATGCTTCCCAGTGCCCTAATAAACCAAAGGTAATTGTCTCCTGCCAGGTTTGCGGAAATCCGGGTTCGATTTTCTCCAACTGCAATAATTGCAGTTATATACGGGAGTTGTTGGGAAACGCGCAAGGGGGGGACCGTCCAACCCTCCCTTCAGGCGTAAATTCACCGAGAGTAGATAGTGCTGTTGAAGAGTGTTTCTTACGTTTAGCAATGTTTCGTAATAATATTTAGTGCTCGAGTCAGCCTAAATATTCATTTAAATTTTTTTCCAAATAAAATGCAAGACATTCTCTGATATTGTTTTTTGTAACAATGAAAAATGATTTTCAATCATTGACGGACATTCTTCTTTGTGGTCAGAATGTACAAAAATTACTAACTGATATTTTAGATGCACAAAAAGAAAGTGCCTGCAATAAAATGACAGGATTTGAAAGAATTATAATTAATACATTTCGTAATTTGCCAGACGAATTGAAATTATCTAAATTTAATGCTATTATGGATATCTTAGAAAATAAAGGACAATAATTGAGAGTCTTCAAATATTCTTTCTTTTAAATAACTATTCTTATGTTTTCTAAAAAAATTTTTTTAATTATGATTAGGCTGAATTTTATTAATTTTTAAAGAAAAATTTAACAATTTGGAACGTAAATAGTTTTAAAAAGAGGAATTTGTTTCCTATTTAGTAAAATAAAATAATTACTTAGGCAATCCATGTTTTTCAAAAAAATTACAAAATTTAATTTCTTGAACTCCTCCTCTGTGAGTTTTTGCAGTTATTTATTAACTCCTTTATACAACGCACATAAAAACGAAGTTTTTTTCAAATTTGTTAAATTAATAATTTGATTTTTATATGTGTCTTTCTTTTGTTATCATAATTATGTAAACAAATTGTAAAATTAAGAAAGAACTGCATTCTTGTAAGTGTACCGAGAAAGAAATTAGAAATTACCATTAATAAATTGTTTAAACAAGTAGTGAGTTGTTTTTAGGGAGGGGGAAAATGCAACAAGTGCGTTATCGCCCAGTCTAGACGAGGAAATTATTGATGGCAGTAGTAATGAAAATAGATTCTTTTTGAAAGTGTTTATCGCAGACCGACCATAATTAGCCCTGTTTGACTCCGGTGCGACGATTTCTGCCGTAGGACCGCGCCTTGCAAATGAGTTTAGAGAGCGCTTAGAGGAAGTCGACTCGACTATTTCTAGTGCATTAGGCGGAACCACCAAAACCTTCGGTAAACTAAGATTGTGGTTAACGGTAGATGGCGTTGCAGTCTTTCGAATTCAGAGCAGTAGATTCTTTGACACAGGATCTAATTTTAGGGGTGGATTTTTGCAGAGAGATGGACATGGACTTGCAGTTGGGTAAGGGGTTATGGAGAGTAAATGGCCGGGAGTGGCATGAGTTTTCAAGTAGAGTAGTAACTAGTCAGGAAGGAAAAATTTTTGCCGAATGTGCAGTAATTTGCGAATTAAGTAACGATCAGCGCCAAGAAGTCCAACAACTCGTTAACGAGTTAGTATTGCCCGCAGGCCAGGAACATGGTGTGACCTCTTTTACCGAACACTATTACCCTCACAGATTCTACCCTTATTAAACACAGACCGCGCAGAATGTCACCAATGATGTTACATTGGTTAATAATGGAGGTTAAAAAATTAATGGAGCAGGGTATTATTATTAAACGAGCTTTTAGTGAGTGGAGCACAGCCCCAGTAATAGTTAAAAAGGGAGATGGTTCTTTGAGGTTATGTTTCGATTTTAGGGATTTAAATGGAGTGACTATTAAAGATGCTTATCCGATCCTTAGTATAGACGGAATTTTGGATAAGCTCCAAAAGGCCCGGTATATCTCTAAAATCGATTTAAAAATGGCATACCATCAGGTGCCGATGGCCGAGGAAAGAAAACAATATACAGCATTTTCGGTACCCGGTCTAGGATTGTTTCAGTTCAAACGGACCAGAATTTGACCCGGTTGTTTTCGGTTACTTGGACGATATAATCATAGTCACAGAAGATTATGATGAACACATAAAATGGTTGAGAACCGTTTTAATAAGGCTTCCTCTCGCAGGATTGGTAGTTAATTCCTCGAAATGCGAATTTGGTTGCTCTAGAGTGACTTACCTTGGTAATGTTTTGGATTGAGAAGGTTTACGTCCCGACCCGGAGAAAGTTGCCCCTGTTTTAAATTATCCAGCGCCCCAGAATATTAAACAACTTCGAAGATTTTTAGGCATGGTTGGGTGGTACTCGCGTTTCATCCCTAGGGACAGTGAATTAAAGGTCCCATTGTTGAGACTCCTTCAGAAGAATCGAAGTTGGGAGTGGGGAACAGAACAAGAGTAAGGTTTCCGTGAATTAAAGCTTAAACTGAGTTCAGCGCCCGTTTTAGCCCGACCTGATTTTGCCAAGCTCTTTACCATCCAATGTGACGCGAGTGATTTTGCCATTGGAGCCGTTTTGACTCAAGAGTCCGAAGATGGTGAACATCCCATTGTATTTATTAGTAAAGCCCTGGCCGCCGCGGAAAAAATTATACAAATACGGAGAATGAATGTTTGGCCCTTCTTTGGTCTATTAAAAAATTCCGTCCTTATGTCGAGGGTTATAAATTCACTGTTATTACGGACCATAGCGCGCTCAGATGGTTTAGAAATTTAAAGGAACCTTCTGGTAGATTAGCAAGATGGGCCCTTCAATTGCAGCAATGGAATTTCGATATAGTGCATCGCCATGGAATACACCATCATGTTCCAGACGCGTTATCGAGAATGTTTGAAACTGAGGAGGAAGTGGCTGCATTTGAAACGATTACCGGCCCTTGGTATTTAAAACGTAGGGCGTTGGTTGGGAAATTTCCTTTAAAGTTTTCTTGTTAGCAGGCTTTAGATGGTCGTTTATATCGTCAAAGAGAAGACCCCTTACTTGATATTGTTGTGAACCAGAGGGAGCTATGGAAACTTGTGGTGCTCTTAGAATACCGTGAGAGAATTTTGCACAATGCACATGCTGATTTCATTCAGAAAAGAATGCTACACTGTAAAAAATTTAGGGAGTTAACGGACTCGGGAGTTGGGAGTTAAATTTTTCGAGTTAAAAATCAACTCCAAAAGAGAGTTAATTTCTAACTCCCTTCATTCAACACCCGCGCGAGTTATTTTTTCCATGGGGAGTTAGCATTTGGGTGTGAAGTTTTAACTCTCTTTATTTAACTCCCCTGGCATTAACTCCTCAATGGGTGCGACTTTTATAGAATCCCCTGGGGAGTTTTTTTAAAATTTTAACTTTTTAAAATTTTATCATGTGGAAAACTTAGTCCAACATCTCAGCTTTCAATTAAAAAAAATACGTCCCAATATCACTCATACATTTTTTCTAGAACAATTTTTTTGGAGAAATTTTTCTTTCTACTGTCAATTTGTAATAAAAAATATTGAAAATAGAACATATTTAACTTAATCTTTAAACAATTTTCGTGAAATTATTTAATTTTAAAAAGTTGTAGCGAAGTGCAAATTACATTTATTTAAAAAATCTATTCTCCAGCTTGTTTTTAATAAAAGGTTATCATTTGTATTTATTTATGTATAAATGACAAGAAATTAAACTTGACAGGATTATCTTATTAAAACACCCCGGCGGTGTTTGTTGAATATTTTGTTATTTTTTATCAATACCGTAAGTATTAGACAAAAATTGTTAATTGTTCCTTAAAAACAAATCTTCTAAGCTCAAAACCTGATATACACCCATTTTTTACAACTATTTTTGAAAAAGATATAACAAAAAAACAAAGACTTTAAAAATTTACTTTCAAATGTCACAAAGTCACAATCACGTTTTCTATCATAGTTTCTACAATAATTAATGAATAACAATGAAACTTGGTACAAACTTACAGTAAACCAAGTACATTATTTTGATCGGAGACCGAAATTACTCTGACTTACATATCACTTTTGAATAAATTCAAGTGATTTATTACGACCCTGAGCCATTACGCCCCGGTCTCCCCTACGGAATTACACGAACGACTGACAACAAAACAACGACAAATATCTTAATATTATAAGAAAATATATAGGAGAGGAGATTTTTAATTACTTTTAAAAAAATAATAGATTTATAGAAGAATTTTAGTTTAAAATAGAAAAAAATAGAATTTTAGGGAAATTACAAATGATTAGAGAAAGTTAATTATTTTCAAAAATTTTAATAATATCCTTGGAAAAAATTTAATTATTCTGACAAATTTTCCTTAATTTAATATTTTTTAGCATCTAGGGGAGAGTGGGGCAAAATGAGGTGGTATCAAATTACCATACAATACATGCGGAATATTTTTTTTTAAATTTATTAAATTCTTGTTGTAAGAAAATATAAATACAAACAAAAAGTAAGATTCTTTAGTATTATGAAAAAAACAAGTAATATTTATTAGAAAAATATCGATATATCGATAGTGAAACATC